TTTTTTTGGGTTAATCTTAAGTACCTTTAAATTTATTCTATATTATTTATTTATATTAATCCACTATCCCGTATCCAAAGAGGCTATACAATGGAATACTGTTTTAGCCTGTAGTTTAATGACACATTGAACATTCCATTTCCTATAATCAAATATATACCACCAGCTAACCCTCTTCCGAGAGCTGGGTGGTATGCTGTCGACATACCTGAGGAAGTAAAAGCAACGTCTTGTCAACATCAAATGATGTATTACCGGACACAGGAAATCGGGAATGGACAGTGACATTGGGTGTTGCCTGAAGCTAAAGGACCAATGATAATTGAATATTCGAATGAGTAGGGTGGAGCCAGATCTCCTACATATATCCAGAATATCCAAGGAAACAAGGGAGAACAGAAAAGAAGGAGAAAGACACAGCAGAGAAGAAGGAACACTGAGAGATCCCGATCGGAACTCCAGCACACAGAAGTATAGTCCTATAGTCGGATAGACTTAGGATAAATGTGAATTTTCTTTAGAAAACTGTTGACTGGGAACCTTTCTGAATTAAAAAGGAAGAAGAATTACTACTCTTTTGGTTTCACTATTTTCTTGACTTGGATCAGAAGAACAGTTTGATTTGCTGTAACAAATACCGGTACCAAGTGCAACCAGACGATTGCAAGTGGAAGCGATTTTGGACATCTTCCTGAACTGAACTTTGTTATATCATGGGAACTCGCTGTTTTGCCGTATATTCTGAACTCTATTTTTGTTGGACTTCTTGCATTTATTATTATTTTACAGTACTTTCTACAAGCGTACGCTGCATTGCCGACGGTATTTTGTTAGGTTAGGTTAGGTCCAATTTGTAATCCCCATTGCCCAATAAATCATTATTAAGCATATAACTAGAAAAGGTTCCTCTTGTTTTATTTGTGGCCATATATGTAAACATCTACCGACTGAGCCTGCGCGTAACTGGAACCCGAGCCCCCACGACGAATTAAGTGACGGATTCGCTTTCTTCAAGTAGTGGTCACCCGCTACATATATATAAGCAAAGAAAGTTATATCATGTTTACGATTATTTGTATTATTGTTATTATTATTATTATGAGACTATTATTAGCCTATTATTATTATCATTATTATTATTAATATTAAATTTAGGAAAAACGCCGAAAATTCTACAATTTTTGAGAAAATTTATGTCTGCGTCTGCTTTTTTTCAACTTCTTGCTGAGTTCTCAAACATCCTGAGGTCTTACTTTGTGACCGTACTGGTCCGTGTAAACTCATGTACAATACAGCCAAACTTCTGAACAGAAAGTAGTATAAAGACGAATTTAAGAGCAACAAAAATACATTTAATAGAACCAAACATGTTTCTTCGTATTCAATACGACATCTTCAGTGTAACAAATCAAAAAACCGAATTCAGATATCCTGAGGTTTATATACCTTTGCCTATAACTTATGCACATTAGAGTCAATTCATTCTAAATAGGTATTTGAATACATAGTAGTGTCGTAACTTGTTGGCACGTTAAAGTTACGTAATTCCAATTCTAGTTTCTCAAACAGTCTTAGTAAGGTCAAATGCTTAGTTTAATATCGTAGCTCTAATTTATTCTAAAATAGGTATTTGAATACATAGTAGTGTCGTTACTTGCACGTTAGAGTTACGTAATTCTAATTCTAGTTCAAATGCTTAGTGTAATCTCGTAACTTTGAACTTGTCTGTTAAATTCAGGATTCTTCCATTTAATATGGAGGGATTCTTTGATTTTTAATTGGTACTGTGTATTTGCTTTAAGCAAAATTTGCCAAATTAAAAAAAAAATAAAAAAGAAAATTCGACTAAAATTTTTAGTCTAGGAGTGCCATTTCCGGCCATCTAGAGGTGCCATAATCATAAATGTTCTTACCTTAGCCCAATCATGGTGGGCTGAGGAAATATACACCCTCCACCTGTGAATGTCCCTCTCCAGGCCTCCTCTATTTCAAATTCCTGGATCCGCCAATGGACCTTGGTGTACCGCAAGTAAGAGAGATCATTATGAATCACCCTCATCTGTTTATCACTTGCATATTCATATATGTATTATATGTATACACAATATATATAAAGGGAGATAAATTCATGTTCTGTATACACAAATTATATAAAGGATATATATTTACATTGTATAAATGGAGCAGATTGCTTCGTGCGAGAGGTGATAACGCTGTTTCAGTTTCTAAAGGTAAATGGTACATCTACCTGGCATCACTGGAGCATCTTTGTAATTACTTTGTTCCCACCAAATGGAGAGTTTATGGGAAACAGCAGCATCGTTCATGTGAATTGCTGTGATAAAACTCAATTGTTCGTTAGTTTGATTTTGGAGTCATCATTGGAGATCTTCCTTGGCAGCTGATGCTCTTAATCTTCAAACCAGGGACCTCCTCTCATTTATGTTGTTTGTTGATTTGCTCCATGGCTCTTCACACTCTCAATTTGGTGAGGATTCTGCACCAAGTCTTTTTTCCAAGTTTACAACCTCTTGGTTACTGAAAAGGCAGTCAACAAACTGCTTAATGTACAAAGCTACCTGTAATTGCTTGGACCATCAGTCTACGATCTAAGTTGGTTGGTTCGGGGTGCTGTAACAGAGCTTTTGTAGCATAATGATTAACAGGCCCGTTTCTTCCAAATGGGGGTTTCCTGGGCGTGAGGTACACGGTTGAAGCCCCGGTGGGGTCGGCGAAACCCCAAAAGCAAGGGGATTTTTGTGCTTTATGGGTCTAAATAATGCTATAAAAGCAGATATGTTTGAAAAGGTCTTTGTTTGGGTGGGTCTGCAGTGCATTAGTTGGGTTGGAGGACTTATTTGGGAAATTTGAAGAGGGTGGTTCGCCAGAAAAGAGGGAGGTTTGCTAGAAAAGGGGGTTCTCCCGAACCATAAAACCCCCCCTGGATACGGGCCTGATTAACTGGAATTATCTGTTTCTTGAAAGATGTAGGTATAAGATTCAAACTATCATGATTTACTGTTTTTGTTTGCGAGCTTAATTGTATGGACATTTTGTCTCAGGTTTGCAGGAACAGTACCAGTGTGTCGAATGTTTTTAACTGGTTTTGTTATCGGCACATAACAACTCTTAATTCATTTTACAGAACAAGGTAAACTTTTTTTGTGAATTAAAACTGTGACTCCATGGAGCATGTATAACATGCACCAGAGTACTGCATGCTACAAGCACTGCTGGTGATATTCAGACTGTTGTAGTATTCATCCCATTCAGTCCCTACTAAATTTCATAGGGTTTACATGAGACTGTGTCTTAATAAGCATTGCATTGTTTTGTTAAAGAAGTGTTAGGATATGATCCAGTATGATGCCAAAAATGTCGTAGTACCTAATCTTGTGTCCCCCTCTTGACGAAGCAATTGTTAACAGGAAGATCAGATCTGAGGTGACATTATGGAAAGTATGTGCAACATCAACTTAAAGGCAGATATGTTAACACCATTCAGTTATTGGTTTCTACTACATTGTCTATTACAGATCTCAAGAAGGAAAATTATGTCAAGTAATGGAAAATCTCAACAAACACTGCAAACTGTTAGACCTTTCTTTTCACTCCGATATACTTCTAATTTCGGAGTCCTTTATGAGGTCATTTTTACACACCAGAACCAAACCAAAGGCAGGCCACTACTATAGCGCTGTTGCAGCACCACAAGACCACAAACTTTCTCAGTTAATAATAATAATATTTATTCGGCAGAGTAAAAAGTATACATACAATATTCTTGCCAGGAGTAAGTAATAGGCATAAGCCCAAACAGTAAACTGCTCTTACTCTATCATCAAAAACAAATACAATGACAATACAATATAAATATATACAAAAAAGTAAATTCAAAATAAATTGATTTAACTAAAACAAAATGAAAAACAGATATAATTAATAGTTATTATTAGTATTAATATTTTGAGATCAAGTGTTTTGTGAGCTGGGCTTTAAAGTCCGAAATGGATGTGCATTGTTTAATTTCATTAGGAAGTTGTTCCCATAATCTAGGAAAAATAACAAAAGATGAATTTAAAAATGTATTAGTCTTGGCTTTCCAATGTATTAATCGCCCTTCACACCTTTCACTTGATCTCACAAGATTATTAAACGACAATGGACATTGTCCATGCATTATTTTAAAACCTAACGTTAGTCGATATACTTTAAAAATATCCTCCATGCTTAAAATATTCAAAATTCTTAATCTATATAAATATGACGTGTCCCAATTTCCTTCCTTTCTGTACATAATTATTCTAGTTGCCTTTTTTTGTACCCTTTCTAGTCTATAAATATTTGAAATTTCAGTAGGTGCCCACATGCAGCAACAGTACGTCATAACCGGTAATATTAAAGTTTTATAAAGATTGAGCATAGCCAGCCAAGACATTGCCTTACTACAACAAAACCAAGAAGTCAGCTTGCCTTATTACTAACATAATTCAAATGAGAATGACATGATAACTTATTGTTAATATCAACACCAAGTAGTTTAAATTCATGGACTCTTTCAGTTGTTTCAAAATGTATACTATAGTCCCATGTAAGAGGCTCTTTACACCTAGATAAACTCATAGTTGCACATTTAGATGCATTTAGCGGCAGTTTGTTAACAATAGACCATTCAACAATCCTATTTAAAGAAGGCTGAGATGGTTTTACTCAGCTAAAAACAGTGTTTTGCACCCTGCTGTTAGTTTTAACTCTAAATGTCAAATGGATCATTCTTGACAAAATTTTCAACAAATTATTCAACTGTAGCGGCTTTAAAATATTTTTTATAGCACCGCATCTTCAAGAGTAGGATTTGTGGGTCAAAATGTCAATTTAAGAAACATACATTGGTATGCAAAATGAATTTAATTGAACTTATTTTCTAAATTGAACGCAAGGTCTGAATTTTTAAATTAGAATGCCGCAGCATCACTTTTGTCAGACTGCTAGTGTTTATCTGCAGAAAGTGTAAATCTCGTAGAAGTGATTTGAATGAATAGAGTTGTGTATCAAAGTTATCATGGCACCATCCCACAGAGGGGGGAGCAACAATTTCATATAGGCCTAAATGATTATTATTATTATTATTATTATTATTATTATTATTATTATACAGATAGGCATATATGTCTAGTAATGACATGATTGATGTACAGTACATGCTGTTACACTTAGTATTTGTATGCGATTTTGTATTTTCACTGTTAACACACAAAAAAAGATGACAGTGGCAAAACAGGGAGAACGTTCCCTTCCCTAAATCTGCCCCTGTCCAACATTGTGGCAACCGAGGAACAAAATGTTGTGGCTATGGCAACTAGATGGCCGGAAATGACACTCACAGTCTTAGGCCTAAATTTGAATATACCTTTCCTCTTTTATCTCTATTTTTTAATTTTAATTAATTTTCAAAGAAGTTTGGGGAGGAAGGCCTGGCCCGGGACGGAGTGGTGGGGCAGGGGAAATTAAGGGGCGAAGGTTAAGTGTCAGTGCTCAGTGATTAAGTTAGGGAGATTCAGATGGCAAAATATATTGATATGTAACAATTTTGTGAGTACTTGAGAAAAACTTTTTTTTTACAAAAGAATATCCAGTGGAGATGTGTAGGGGAGCAAGATTTCTGTGATGGGGGTTATTTTTTGTGCTCTTATTTTCTTCCCAATGCATCATTGATCCCATTATATGATATCGATAAAATAAAATGATAAAATAAAATGACTATATATAAATGAATAACGATGATCGAATTGCAATTTTTTTTTGGGTTAAAAACTAATTTTTGGCAGCGGCCATTTTGAAATTCAAAATGGAGGCCCTAGAAGTGAATAAAAAAAAATGGCACCCATTTTTATCTTAATCAGTGAATTTTTTAGATATGTTAGATATGTTTAGACATGTTTGCCAAGAATCTACTCAAAAGATTGACAAAGTTAAAAAATATGACATAAGACAACAGACTATAATCATTAATCACTAAGCACCTGCCCGTTGTGGCTCACGTCCGCATCGCTCTCGATTGAGATATGTGTCTTCGTATGAATGACCATAACTCTGCTGCAATTTCCGAAATCCGGGTTAAAATCTACCTTTTTATATTAGAGGTACATCTAGCGCGAAATCAGCAGACCAGCTTACGGATAATATGGCATTAGTTCGAACTCTCGTACCATGAACATTCACTAGGCGTAATTTTTTACTAGGCGAGTATTTTTACTCGGGAATGCGAGCGAAGGGCGAAGGTCAGGGTCAGATTAGTGATGTGTCTTAAGTAACACTAAACGATTTTACTCCCCAGAAATCATGTGTTATGTTGTAAACAAATAAATAATAATATTCTATAACTTAAGTTTGTTGGTTGTGTTAACTAGATTCGACTCACAACAGCACCTTGATATAGAACATGTACGACTGCAACCTGTATGATATAATATCTTTGACCTTATCATCGTTCAACCTTGTGGTACAACACCATTTTCATAGTTAAACATTACGATTATTTAAATATAGTGAATGTACAAACAATGACTGAACCATGTCCCATATCGTGCATGACACCTGTCAAAAATACTAAATCTTAAGCAGAGTAGGCTACTGCAGCATTTATGATATCGTTTTAGAAATGCAACCGTTGCATGATGTTTGTTATGTACGTAACAATTTGCTATATTAATTGTACAATGTGTAGGCAATACTTTATGCATTTTATGGGGCTAATAATTAACTTCACCGTCAAATAGATTAATACAGTTTTTCTCCTAAACCACAGTAGTGACAAATGGTATAGCATACTGTACTTAACATAATATTTTGTAATCTTTTACTCTACTTTCATTAATTGTATTTTAATGTTATAGAATACCTTCTGCAGTCAGCAATTACTATAGAAGATTCCTATTTCGTGGACGTTATGGATTCAGTTATATCAATTGTGGATAATTACATCGAGGAAGCAATTCCAGTTGATGTGAGCATTTCAAAATCAACTTTTCAAAGATGTTCTCAAACCAGCCATCCCATTATGAGCCATAGAAACGGGAACTGTTCAATTACAGAAAACCTCTTCAAGGAAAATTATGGAAATGTGACCATTCACGGAACATCAAATTATTCTACAGTTACTGTTGCACATAATTATTTCCTTTCTAATAGAGAGAGTGGTGTATTGTCCGTCAAAAGTGAATCCTCAAGAATTTATATAATTGGTAATCAATTTTACTACAATGAGCCATCTACTAGCAACGATGTGATAACAATTATGGAAGGCAACACACACCTTACTGACAATGTGTTTTATTACAACCATGGACGACATCTAATTGTTGTCTTAGGAGACAATGCCTATGGTAACAGACTTATTGAGCGCAACATCATGATCTACAACACAGGACAACGTTCAGACGAAAAATTCACCATATTATTAGATAATATTAACACTAATATTTCTAGAAATTACATAGTAAACGCTGGTAACGAATTTGAAGTGGCACTTACTTCACGCGTGACGTCAACAGTAGACGCTACGAATAATTGGTGGGGTGCAGATGACATCATTCAACTAAAAAGCAGGGTTCGGGATTCAAAGAATGTAATTGGTCATGCGTTCATACAACAAGAACCGTTCTATACTTCACCCTCTGAGTTACCATTTTATAGTTGTAAGTTTTGAATTTTATTTTGTATCAAACCTGTCCTATTGACTGTTTAAAAAAAAAAAAATCACATATGATGCATTTTATTAATGTTTAGTCTATGTCACACATTAACCTATGCATAATCAGACACCAATGCTAGATAATCAATCATCCACCCACGGCGATGACGCAAATAAGACAAATCAGATAAACAATGTCAATAAAAGATTTTTATTCTAATTTACAGCATCATGTCCACCGGCGTATAGCTTAGAAGGATATAAATGTTACAGTTACAAACCAGCATCAGTCGATTATTCAACAGCAACTTCAATTTGCGAAGTAAGTAGTATAATAGTACATTAACAGAGCAAACTTATTAGCTATAGAAGCTGCAGAATAAAAGGGACAGTACTGCAGATGTAGGCTAAGTCGGAAACCTGTGTTTGAGCGTTGAATCGTGAGGATCCTAATATACAGAGCTAGTTTAAGTATATCGCGGCTCTCCTTGTGTTTCATTGTGAGGGCTTACCGTATAGTCTTAAGTTTTGTCTACACTATCAAATTTGATGTGACAAAAAATGTGATGTGCCCATATATGAGTATGATGATGACATCATATCACATACTATCAAAAAAAGTTGATGGTAAATCTTATTTACCATCAAATTTTATGTGACGCTTTTTTGATGAAATTTGATAGTTTAGACAAAGCTTAAGGAAGTTATTTGGTTTCGTGTGAAACATGATACATATGTAATGTACGTAAACGAGCACGGTACAATTTTTTTTAACAGTAGATTTTCTCTAAGTTGGTTCACCACCGACCAATTGAAAAAGTCTTAGGATTGTTGTGGTTTATCCTTGGTGTGTTCACACTAAAAGAAGTGAGAGTATATTCTTCAATTTTTTAAGCAGATCCTCTTCTGTACGTTTCAATTGCAATGTTCCGCTTGTTGTTTCAGGGATTTCCCCCACATGCTTTAAGTTCACATTATATAGGCAGCATAAAATATAATACAGGTCTTATGTTATAAATGTTTTCTTTTATAGTTAGACGGGAACACGATATATCAGCTCGCAGTTTCTTATTGTCGTAATTGCATTTTTCGTAATCGTGGATCGGATGTTGAAGATCTAAAAAGATATTTAATCATGAAAAACGCTGAATATTTTCAAACAAATCGCATCTGGATAAAGACATCAAATAAGGTAGAGCAATCACTCATATTATTAATTTTTACTGAATCGATATTTGATAAAACGATGACGTGTGTCAGTCAAGTTGGACGAAGAAGAAGAAAAAAATTATACAAATTAATGATCATGTTAATAAATAAATTTTGTCTAGTATTTATGCAACTTGGTTATTAATTTCTTTATTCATTTTAGTGTTCATATTTGGAGCTGAACTATGAAAGTGGTGAACATAGTACTGGGACGGCTGATTGCAGCGAGCGATATCCAACTGTCTGCGAACGTGCTACAAGTAAGAAACGTTTCGTGTTGCAGTTTTTATAAATCTGATTGATTTATTCACATCTTCATACTAAAATAATTATCTGTATTTTAATTATTTGTCTGTTATATGCATTTTATATACATTTTATGTAAACTGATATGCGCCATTTATCTTCGAATATAATTTTAGGAAATCGATGTCCTAACAAATGCATGGGTAATGGCGTGTGCCAGTATAGGACATGCATATGTGATCCAGGGTGGTCAGCGAAAGACTGTTCAAAATATATATGCTCCGATGGATGCTCGAATCATGGTACATGTGTGGGACCGAATGTCTGTCGATGTAAGAGTGGTTGGCAGGTGAAAATTTATATATATATAAATGTATATATATATATATTATGTTAAACTTAATAATTTTATTATAATAATTATATTAAGAACAATGTACCCATTATAAATTTACTATCATAAATTTTATGATTTTTACAATTTTTATTTACCAGTTGTATTATATGATTTTGTTCAAAGGGATCAAGCTGTACATCTAGCTACTGTAATCGTTTTAGAGACTGCAGGTCATGTGCTAAATTAGAAGGATGTGGTTGGTGTGATTCAACACTCTCCTGTCTCCCAGGTGCGAGTACAGGACCCGACGCCGGAGTCCAATGTGAAGCATGGTTCCACAATTACTGTTTTACTACTGGAGCGTGTTCCAATAATATAGAGGTATTGTTATATTAATGCAATTATTTATTATGACAATACATCTATAGTATATTGTTCTGATTAATTGAAATATGCTTTTTAAAGCATCATGTGCCGTATGATTATAAATATAATTACAAGTAGAGCACACTTCGCCCACATAATTCTCCCTGTATAAAATTCCCATGCATCTTTTCCATTTTTAAGAAGGAACACAGATTCTTAACCTCAACCGAGCTTTTAACCCGGGACCTTACAAGGAAAACTTCATAACAAACTAGACCATGAACCCGTTTTGATCTATGTGTGATCTGGTAGCCATTGAAAGCCGTCAATTAGTGTTCCTTGGATGATGACAAACTATTCTAGGAAGCTTCATTCTGATCCAATAATCGGTTTTTGAGATACTTACTTATGGGGTGTTTCATTTTAAGCGCCTCCACATCCACACCTCCGAAACTTTAACAAAATTGCATACTTTTTTCTTTGGCAATGACGAACACTTTCAGAAAGGTTTTCAAATGCATTTATCATTTCTTTAGATAGTTAGGTCTTGCAAATTCCATTTAAATAGGCCTAGTCCTCGTATTCACACCCTACTCTATATCATTACCAAAATTTTATTATTTCTATCTTGAAACATGATGAAACATTCTAGAAAGTTTTGTTCAGATCCAGTGATAAGTTTTTAGATATTTAGGTATGGGACGTCAACACTTTAAATGACCCCAAAATTCACACCCAAATTTTGATTGTCACCAAAAGTTAACTTTCAACTTCTTGTTATCAAAGCAAGCGGCACACTTAGACCACATATAGATATCAGAGCAGATCTGAAATCCGGATACCTTTTCCCACAGACCTGAGTTTTGCATGCACACAAATGAAGATAGCTTAAGCTAGAATCTAGCCTGTAAGCACTTGTTAACATAATGAAAGTGATATTTGTATGTTCTAGATACTTAATTGCAAGTTAACTCACTGTGATATGACTCGATCAAGTACTACGACAGGCTCCTGTCAGAGTTGCCGAGATTTGGAACAATGTTTCGTTGAAAAGGTTTGATCTGATTGATGTGATTTATTACATCCAGTACGATATAGTCATCACAAAAAACTATGAAAAAAAAAAGCAAGGAAAACCTCAGGAATTATGTCTACACAAAAGTTAAGTAGGGCGGGGAAGGTAAAAATGAAGTCAAACAAGAATCCGATCATTCTTCACCAGGCCTAGATGTAAACAAATGAGGGCTTCATATTTGAAAAAAAATCTTTTTGAATGTAAGCCCTGGGTTGTTTGAAGTAGTTTATTATATTTATGACCTGTACTTGTTTTAATTTGCAGCCAAGTGGATGTAATGTTTGGAGTCCAGAAATTTGTCCATCAAATTTGGTTAATCCGAACTATGCTGATCCTGAAAGAAAGAATAATATAGAAATTAGTGAAAAGGTTCAAGTAATCAACGTGAGCCAGAACTCTACAAATATTTACATTTGTCCAGTGAAGAGGAACGATGAAGTGTTGTTGATATCAAGCAAGAAACTCGAAATGACAGAAGCTTCTAATATCCTAGTTTCTTGTCAAGCACAAGGAATTTTCCACACAGTTGTGTCAATACAACATCTATGTGAGTAATTATAAAGAATATTTTTATTAAGAATAATGGGTTTAACTGATGTTTATTATTAGCAATTAAATAATATAATTTTTTAATAAATTAACTATGTATCGATTTTATTATATATTTTAATTTTTAAACGTTAATTGTGTCCTTTTTTTCTATATATATTCAGTAGCAAATTCTTATTTAAGATGTCATTTATGTGTTGTATTTTATGTATGTTTTCATTTAAACAAGAGTGGCCGCTCACCGTCCGCGCGTTCCTCCACGCTTAAATAAGGTACAGGCACAAGTTATTATATTGGGGTTTTTTTTATGGAAAAGATAATAAGATAGAAACTTTTAAATAATTAGGATGTTTGTACAAAAAAATATTATGTAGAATGTTCATTTGTACAAAATTAAAATATCTTAAAATTGAAAAATATAAAATTTCTAAAAATTGGGAAAAAAAAATTCCAAGACGCGATTGAAACTGACAACCTTAAGTTCTTTAGAACACATCCTTTACCGACGGCGCCATCCATGTGACATGTAGGGGTAGTGGCAGTAATGTACAGTCGTTGCTGAAACCCCTGTTTTGTTTTGTAGGTGTAGGGGGAACCCTGCGGTCCAACTTGAAAAAAAGGGCGATAAAATGTTTGTTGGAAATCACCTCTAGTTTATGTGTACAAAATTTCCTGCACGTCCGTTGAAAACAGGCGACGCTGGACGCTTTTAAAGTTTTGGTAACAAGAACAAAAACAAGAACAGCAGTGAGGCTCTGGGGTCAGACCCAATTATCGAGACCTAAATTCTGATTCTGGATCGGATTATGCTCAATTTATGGTTTTTGTAATATTAGGCCTGTATAGATTAAATATATTCAAATTGTCAATACATAACCCAAATAGACTAGTGGTATAAACATGCAGAAAAAACTTTTCAAGAGATTGTTTAATTCGTATATAAAGTAAATATTAAAAATAACAACGATTCCTTTTCTAATTATTGACTTTTTAGGGCGGCATAGCGTGATAATGGCGAGTGTGGCGAGACTTGATGAAGTATTTAAGTACGCAAGTTTAAATGATGTTTTAGACGTCATTCTAATTACTGATTATAGCGATTTACCTGAAGAATCATTTTGGAGTGATGCTATCAACACTAAGCTGTCTTATCCTAGCACAGATGTAGTTTTACTTCAAGGTAGTGTAACGTTTCATTGTTAATTTTCAGTTTGCATAAATACGGTTCTTTAAGTTATTGTGAGGCTAATTAATTGCAATATTACATGTTTGAGTTTTGCCAACTCCAAAAACTACACTTTAATAACTTATACTTATAAAATCATAACCTAAACATAATTCTTACTATTAGCCTAATTGAAAAGGTACTTCTATTCAGTTTTTTTTCTCTTTGTTTTATCTACTGTAAATCAAAAGGCGAACTAAATGACATGATATGATATATGATATGATATAACTGAGGCAACGCAGACTAGAGAACCGAAAGGTCCACTGATTAATATCAGATAAGAAAGTATAATACATACTCTAAGTATGAATTCCACCCGCAGAAAAATGTGCCATAAATATCATAAAAATAAATGCTTTTTTTTGCAATGATTGAACATGTATTCTTTTTTTCTTTAAGATGTTCTATTCAACAAGTGCCTTGGAAGTATACATGTGCTAGGAACAAGAAAATACCATTCAACGTTCGTGGTATTGACTTCAGACATTGCAACTTCGTACGATATAGAAGTTGGAGATGTACTCGTCGTGAACTCTACGGGACATTTCATTGAATCTGTTGTCGAAATTGGAGGAGAACCCAATTCTACATTCATAGAAACCAGTATTTTAGACTGTAGTCACGAAGCAATACGAAACAGCGTGTAAGAATGCATATATCTGTATGACATGGTGTATAAGATGGCTTACTAACAAATACGCCATTAGTATGTTAATTACCAATATGAAACATAAGTTTCACTGCGAATAACACTGGTTTTAATTAGATGATGTTTCTAACTAATTTTTTAGAATGCTAACACCGCCCTCTTCAGTCCTTCATGAAAACGCTAATATTATTCTCGGATGCAGTGGTGGAGAAAATAACACAGACGGAATTGTTATAATAGATGGAGACATATCTGAAGAATCGCTACAGATTGATACTTCTACCTTAATTATTGGACGTGAAACAAGTGGCTTGGTCGGGAAGGTCAGTACTTCTTAACAGATAAACAAGGATAGCAATTACACTATCACCGATAAGTATAATCACTAACCATGTGTCTTACATAGAATGGAAGCATATTTTTTGGAATGTCACTTGTAATTGTATTTCATTATAGATATTACATTATGAAGTTCGAGGTAACTATGTATTTATCGAGGTGCTGGTTGCACGTGACCATCAGGAGTTTAGTGAAATCATCTCAAATGAAGGCGACGACGATGGTATCAACAATTACGACTCTCAAGTTGACGTAAGCTTGAATAAACCACTGATATACACTGTAAGAAAGCATTTCTCTACAGAACGAGATTTTATCTTAATGTATTTTCATGTATGTTAATTATAAGGCAATTTTATCTGACAAGTGTCCAACTATGTGTGTGGTACAAAACTATATAGTAATAAAATGTTTAATCAAAAGTACTGTTGAACCTCAATTTTATTTTTTTAGCCGTTTATGTTTTACCAGTGTGCACTTTAATGGCCTCTGGTGTAATCAGTGAGAATTGATCTGTTACGCCACTGGTTACCATTTATTCATTTCTTTCTTTTTATTTATTGTTTATAAATATTTATTAATATAATTATTATTATTATTATTTTATTATTATTATAATATTATTAATATTATTATTATTATTATTATTATTATTATTATTATTATTATTATTATTAGGACGATGACGTTTTATGCGAGATTGACCCACAGTTTCAGTTTAATTCGTCTTTGCGACTAATTTTCTCAACTGACCGTATAAAATACAAACAATTGGATGTAATCTACGAAGGCCCGATAAAGACAGGTCTACATATCAATTGCAGTGCTGGAGTTCCGTAAGTAGCAACAACATAAAGGTATTGTTTCTTACCACAAAAAATAATTATTGTAATATTTTAGCAGTTGAATTATAATAATTTATTGGAATTACCTACTGCCATTTTCTTCTGAATAGATTTGATGATAATGTTGCAAGGCAGTTTGCTGTAAACAGAAGAACTCGAAATTATTACGTGTCATTGGGAGGTTTGAAAATTCCTTTATCCGTCGATTTAAAAGCGAAATATTCCATTATAGCTGGCCTACCAGTGAGTATTCATTATTGCAATAAATCTAAATCAACATTTAGATTTATTGCAATTTATTTATAAATTTAAAAAAATTAGTAGGCAGAAAAGCCTACAGAAAATGCAAAACTGGTGCACTCGGTGAACGTCTTCGCTAATTCACACTCTTGATATTGAAAGGTGAAGGTTTAGTACCAAAATGTCTGAAGTTAAATAGACTATGTGCTTTTTTAAAGTTGAAGAGGATTTGAAGAGGATTTGCATTTACCATGATCTTAGCAATAAGTTTGGCAGCGATCTTAGAAATTCAAAAAACTCGTTGTCACATGTCTTGGTCTACATCAACAAACGCCCATACCAATTTCACACTTTTTCTCATATACAGGCTCCATTGGAAACCAAATTTGGTGTTACTTCTACTGCAGAACTAAATATCGGGTACGGCATCAGGCCCCAAGAAGAGAGACCGGTCGTACTTACACCAATGGTCTGTATATGTATTTATTTTTGCTTAATTATCAGATAGATACGTTTGTACTATTAGTATTACGATGTTAACTAATTTAATCTTCTACGCTCAGAAAATGATTTGCCTAGGGTATAGCAATTGTAATAATGATGATAATTATGACGGATAATACATCAGCTTTCCAGTAAAAACAATAATCATCTTACACAGAAAATGAATATGTGTGTGTATATATGTATGTATATTTATGTATGTATAAAACATATACATATATGTATATATATATATATATAAAACATATATACAGTATATCATATGTATATGTATATTGAATTGAATTGAATTTATTCGATGCTCATATATAAAATATAAAATATAGAAAAACAATATAGGAATTTTTTTACAATAATCAAACACAACGAGCATCTGGAACACACTATAGGCCGGGAATCCAGCCCATTTCCAATGGGGTCCAAATTGCACAATTAAATAGTTATAAAAATTAATACATATTAAAAAGAAAAAGAAAAAAAGCAGCATTTAAAAACCAAGATGCACCCAATTAACTAATAATTTAGATAGAACACAACAGTGCTCAATTGTAATTATTGCAATTGAGCACTATTGCGTTCATACAGTTTTTTGATGTGTATTTTAAATGTAGCCATATTAGTAAATAATTTTAAATTATTTGGGAGAGCATTCCAGTCATTGATAGCCGAAACGAAAAAGGTTGAATGAGATTGATTATTTCCTTTAAGCAGAGGTACAACCAAATTGACTTTACGTTGACGAGTGTTATGTGTATACATTTCAGAAACTCGCGTAAATTGCTCTTTGCAACAGCTATAATAATAATAGCTACAATAAAACAATAATCATATTATATTCATTTTCAGAAAAAAAAAATATATATACATATACGTATGTATATATATATGTGTATATATATATGTGCATACATATATGTATGTATGTATGTATAAATGTATATATATATATAAATGTATATATATATATATACAATATATATATACAGTATATATATATATATATATATATATATACAGTATATATTAGTATATGTATATGTATATGTGTATGTATATGTATAAATACCAAATTTTTCAGGTGTCTGATGGTGTTACAAGTTCATCCAGAGTTATTAAATCAGACCTGTCAAATTATACAAACATCCATATTTCGATTAATGGAACTTTTGCCCCAACGTTAACGGTAACATTCCCAGCCGAGCCTGCTCTGCCATTTTGCTACACCGCATCTCTTCTTCCTGATTGGCTAGCTTCATTTGGTAAGAACCTAATATATACATAGAAAGTATAAACCACAACGTAATGACTCGCCACATCACGGTATGATTTATTTTATTGCTATTTTGTTAACGATATAGAAGATTTTATTACCATTGAAATCGCTATGAAATGTTTTTTAGTTGGTGGTAGTACACACACGATGTGTAGCGAAGTTCCAGATGGAGATGCACCTGTCGGTTTCCAGTTTTCGACCACGTTTGAAATTCGCTCAAATTTGACTATATTTTTGTGCGACGAAATATGTATAGAGGAGGAAAGCCTACCGAATGACATTACACATGCTCTGTTGTTGTACGGTGGTCTTTCTCAGATCTATATGGAAGCCACATACAACCAGCTTTACCCGTCAAAAACATCATACCAGTCCACAAAACCATTTGATTTGGCAGTGAACACAAGGTAACGTTTAACGTTGACATTTTTTCTCTATTATGGTGTCGTGATAAGCATAATGTTTTATCAGAATAAAATAATAAAACTGTATCCATATGTTATAATATTATTGTTTTTGTTATTTTCATTTTCATTGTAATTATTAGGCCTATATTTATTGCATTTTTAAAATTCATTGATATTCATGTTCAATTTCATTTTAATTTCAATGTCGATGAGTTTTCGTTTTTATTAATGTTTTTTTAGTGCTCTTTGACTTCATTATTTTATTTTAATAAATTTGCCATTTACGAAATGCATTGGTTACCGTTTCATATATATAATTCACAAATATAAAAGTTATGTATCCACGATGTTTGGATATCAATATTTCAATAGAGAGTGTAGTGCGCATCCATTCCTCAATGTACCGAACTGTCTTACTGGGCAAACAAGTGAACCCGCCGTCAATGTAAGTATTTTTTTTATAGACCCCAAATATTTATTTTTTTTGTTATGGTTATAATAATTTTAAACAGTTGTTTCTATAGTTTTACTAATAATATAACAAAATACTGTGAACAATTTTTATTGTAATACTTTTTATTTTGTTTGTTAATACAAAATCAATGAAGAAATTAAATCAAGCACAATGCCTATATAAAAATATTCACTGGACACATCGCCAGTGTCTAAGGTCAATATATTTCATGATTTAACTTTCAATTGTAAATTTTAATCGCTATTATCTGCTTAATTTAGGATACTGAAAGCGTAACTTGTCCTGACAGCACCACACGTTTTCAACACGACGCTACAATTCACTGTCCTTGCAACTGTGCCGATGGTACCTTCAGGGAAATGTCGGAAGACGGCTCCTGTCCTGTAGGTTTTGTAGTACCCTACTATAGTAATAATATGCATGTATAAAAGCCAGGAAGTCATCTATGCACTTAATATTGAGAAATTGCTTCTATCATTTTCAAATAAAATACTAATACTTGTTTCTGTAATAATGATTGATTACTATGTAAGTAGTATTTTCAAATAAAATACTAATACTTGTTCCTGTAATAATGATTGATTACTATGTAAGTAATAATCTGTTGATCTTGTCTTATTTATTTCTGTGGGTGTGTGTGTGTGTATGTGGAGTAAGGTGTTTAGAGGAGGTTTGTAAACAGAGTAACTCAAAAACGGTGCACACAATCTTACCGAATCTATATCATGCTGTAAATATTGAACTACTATGTGATAAATCACCACCTCAACCTAATTAAAATAACATGGTGGTCCAGAGATCTTGTTGAATAAGTGATACCATAGTCATACTAATACGTATCCCAATGGTTTCTAATTAAATATATTGTATCAATGAAGGTAATCGGAATGCAGGCCGAGACAGAGTGTCCCTACATGATAAAGTTGCATTATTTAGAACGTTTCTGTTGACAATATTCAAGCAAACATAAATTTATATAGAGCCCTAGGAGACAGTAGTATTGCCAACATTATCCCAGAGGGGGATGGGGGTGGGTTGGGTAGCGGTGGGAGGTATGTCCCTGATGGGAAGGCCGATTTCCTTGCCAATTATAGCCTTAAGTGGGTGAACTTGCATAGTAACCACGACCTTCGCAGAAATCTCGTTATGTCAATACAACTCAAATTATGAAAATTGTAAAAATGAATAGAAAAAGCAAACGCAAAAAGAAAACACATTACCGCAGTATTAAAAATGCAATCACAAGAAGCTGGAAAACCATTATTTTACACCAACCATCTTGTGTAATACATAGATAAAATGTATCAACAAACAAACAAAACAAACGGCACTAATATTTTAAAGATCTAAAGAGTCAGAGAATTTTATTTGTCATTTATAAATGACAAATTTAAGGTGTCAAAAATCAGAAGTAAGTGGGAAAGCGACCTTCAAATTGATTCAATCGACTGGGATTGGTGTTGGAAAAACAAAATATATTTAATGTTACATATGAAAAAGATTGCGCATTTTAATGTTAAGCTTTTACACAGAATATTACCGGAGCGAAATAACTTAAACTATGAAACTTGGCCTCCACAAATCATTGTGAGTATTGTAATCTCTCTCTCAAAAAATGAAAAGCATATGATATTTAAATGCAATGAGATAAAATTTGCTTTTTATATCACCTAATGAAGTGCAGTGGAATAAAAATGTACTTTTTTTCCATTGCAGTTATGATGGACGTAGCAATTTTAACATTCTGTATGTACAAAAGTAAAATGAGGTAGACTTGGTGATTATTCACATATGAGTTGGAACAAGTTATTAGTTGTGGATTTTCAACTAACATTGAAAAAAACAAAAAAGTGGTTGTTAATTGATCTAAAATTGGATAGAGCTTTACGATCCTAATAAATGTTAAGCTTGCATTGCTTATTGTCCCCAATGTCAGTTCATAATTTACATAATAATTAAAACTTTCAGTTAAGATAGCAATAACATTTTAAAAATATATATAAAATTTTAACCATCCATAACAGTACATCACTGTTCCTCTGTATATTTTAATACTGAGCAATGGAATCAATCGATTTTTGAAGATTTTATATAATGTTGATAATCGCTGCTGATTTTTATAATTAAATTGTTTTTTTAATGAAATTAATGTAGCTGTAATTTTATAATGTTTTAATTTAGTTGTGTTTTTTGATATCCACGCAGTGGTGTTATTATTATTATTATTATTATTATTATTATCATTATCATGTATTAAGCCTAATGAATGAAATGATATACCGCACCGTTGGTTCATAAGGAGTACAATGATTTATAAAGAAAACAATAACAAATAGAACAATAAAAAAGAAAGTAGTTGAGGTGGATAAAATCTACACAACAGGGAAAGAGACAGGTACCTCAGATGAAGGTTTGATGCGTGCTTGCTTGGAGTCTATTGATTTTATTTAAGTTTATTGTTTATTGTTAAAAATAACAAAATCCTTAATTTTGAATGAACATTTTGTATATCTGTATATTTTGTTTAATGTATGTGAAAAGTTTATAGGAAATAAAAGTGATGGTTTCATCATGAAAGAGAGAGAGAAAAAAAACAAGTTAAAATTTAAAAAAATTAGAGCCAACTAAAAGGAAAATGACGTTTTATATTTTATATAGTGTTCGTGTCAATGTGCTGACGGCTCCTATGACATAATCGCAGTCGATGGTAGTTGTCCGTGTGAATGCAAATGTCTTGATTGCATGACATCTACTCTTGGTCCTGATGGATGTGAATGTCCAGTGATATATGACATATGTCCGCCCTGTTTAGTAGGTGAAATTCAGGTTTTTGATAAATGTATCTGTCAGTGCGTACCTGTTGATGAATGCGGAATTTTACCTACGTGTGTTGTTGGACGTCGAGGGGATTATTGTAATCAACTGGATTGCCGTCCATGCCAAGGTATGGTGGCATAAATTACTTTTTATAGTAGAGAGTGGGATTTCATAACTGACCCGACTTATTATGACGTAGCAATAATATTTGATGTCAAAAATCTACTGCAGCTAATACGATTTGATATTATAATTGTAATTCTAATAATGTTGTTGAGATATATTACATAATACAGTAATTATATTTTACAAGTATTCACAATATTTCAACATCCATTTTCTTGGGTTAGGTTGTTCTGGTAATGGTATCTGTTCATCGGTTATGGGTACCTGTAGATCTAGATGCCTGTGTAATAGAAATTGGGAAGGCACATGTTGTGAGATAAGGCGACCAGCACGAGCCTCCGGAGACCCACATCTTCTTACCTTAGACGGTAATATTTTGTTTTGTAAACCCTTTTTTTATTAAAGGATACAGGGAAAATATTAAACCTATAGCAATGCTCTGCAAAGAATGGGCCTGAACGTGTATGCCCGAAACACAGTCATGGGTTGTAGCAGACTGACATTTAAAGCTGGAACATAGCGTGAACCATTTTCTACAGCCCGTCCACAATGTAATCTGAGGTATCTAATAAGTCTGGTCGGAAATGAACAGCATGAGGCGCGAACTCCCCACTACTAGGCTGAAAAGTTGAGCAACAGCTGCCTACTTCAAAAACATCATAGAGAGAGAACAAGAAAGATTAGAATTTTCTTTATTTTAAAGATGAGATTTAAAGGGGTGCTTGGGGTTTAAAATTTCTAATAAATTATATATAGAACATAAAGTTTGCACCTTGCTGATAAGAATTTCACAGGTGTTTGGAGTGCGGTAGTGCAGAACGAGGCTGCAAACTAGGTCTCGAAATGCAAGTGGCCATGACATTACACAGTGTATTAACATAGGACAATTCCTAAAATGAACTAATTTTAGAAGGCTCGCATTTGATAACCGCCGAAGAAAACATTCAATTTTATTATAAGTTCATGAATGACAGCATTATAATAATCATCGTGAGTGGATTTCCCGTGCGATTAAAATCATAACGGTACTGGGTTTGGTCTACAGGAGTTCGTGTTTCGAACAGGTCATTCCATTCATAGAAGAAGCCTTTTGATGGAGAAAGTGTACCTATTAGCAAAGGTTTGCCCAGGTCGAAACTAACTCCGGCTATATAAAATTGATTATAAAATTGAAAAATATTAATCTTATTATTGTAGTAGTGATAGATACTATGCACACATTTAAATTATTGTTATTTATTTGTTATGTCATTATATTTACATTTCAACTTAATGTATAATTACTATATTCACGTAGTATCAATTTAAAAAGCATCTAACTTTATAGATATTAGGAAGATGATAGGATACTACGTTACAAGTACTGTTGGTGGAGTCAACAATCACTCCAAAATTACGAACTTATGATGATGGGGTCCTATACCTACATTTATTGATGCAATAGTTAGGATGACAATCAGGCTTGGAAGATAGTATTACCTGTGTAAATTCAGTCACGTTTCTATGTTTTACACAGAATCATTTACATGGTCTGGTATAAAAAATATATAAACCTGTGTGTCTTTGAATGTTATGTTTACACATGTCATGGTTAAGGTGACGGAAATGACTAAAAATAGGATTGGCCTTAAGGTAGATCCTTGGGTGGCACCACACTTGAGGACAGCCGGTGCAGATACTGTTGGTTTAACATGCACAGACTGGTGCAATCGAAACCAAAGAAGAGATATAATACCTAAAACTCACATGTCGTTCAATAAGGACAGAATTATCAAAAGATGTTGAAATATCAAAATGCACAGATGGAAAACAGTTTATCAGTAGTGCTGCTTTAGTACTATGTCCTTTTTTTAGTTATTAGAATACATTTTTTTTTAAATACAGTTAATTACAATTACCTGTTTAATTTAAATATTCAGGCTTTGATTACGACTACTATGGAAATGGTGAGTTTTGGAGCTGTCGAAGCATTGAGAATGATTTTGGGATACAAGCAAGATTTTATGAGAGTCATAAATCATCTTTAACTGGTGGCATTGCAATGAAACTTGGGAAACACGTCATAACGGTTACTACACCAATGAAGGCAGACTTTGAAACATTGCCAACACTGAGGTATAAATCAACTCATATTCTTATAAGACACATCTAATGTGTTTCAGCTATGCCTATCACCAATACTGTAAATATACAATGGTACTCTTCTGCTGCAAGGCAACCATTCTAAAAAATGTTTCAACAAATATTGTACACTAGGTATATTAAAGGAAGAGACCTTTTGTCTTACGTCATCAACTTGTGTTGCTGTTGTTAACAACACCTCAATCAGTGGTGGACTGTGAAGGCAAGCAAGGTATGCAGTGCATACCCTGGCTAAAACAAATAAGAAAATATAGTAGTACAGTTTCTGCGTTTGATTTAGAATTTCTTAGCCACAATCTTCTATATAAACCTTAATTTTTTGAGTGGATTGCTGTAGTTTATTGGAATAAAGTAAAATTCTTCAATGTTTGGCCTACTTTTTTATTTAGGATAAGTCACATTCGGGCCTATCGCATTGTACTCTCAGCTGCTTAGAATTCCTGCATGGCTGGTTTCAATATCAACCAATCATGTATTCAGTGAGTCAATGGAAGTTAGAGCATACCCTCCAACGCTTAAATTTGCTATTGTGACAACCATGTAGTGGCGTCAGAATAGCCAATTTAACCCTGGAATGGAAGCAGTTCTAAAAGTATGTGCGCATGCACTTCTCGCAAATCAGGACCTCCACCAGTTATCTGAAATTGTTGGTACATCACATATTAATTTACCAAATTCACAAGTACTGTACATCGGTTCACTTAATATTTAAGTTCATATTAATCCCTTAAATTATCACTTCCCAATTCCAACTTAATTCACATTACTGCTAATACTTGTTAGCTCCCCTCCTTGATGATACTTTAATTTATCAGGGTAGATTATTCTCAATTGTGGTATTTACTGTAATATTTGACTATTTGTTAGTTGATCTCCTTTTTCTTACCTCATTGTCTAACCACACATCAAATTGTGGTGTGTTAAAGGTACAAACTTAATCTTACATTGGCAGCACAAAAATAACTAAATACGTTAAATTTTGATAATCCTAGTTATGTGTGTGGCGGCATAGACCCTACTTGTCTTCAATCTGTAATTATTATCACAGTCATTACACACTTTGCATTTCCAACTTGAAATTAGGCTGGATGGAGAAATACTGAATATAAGTAGCGAGATGAAACTCCAGTTAGCAAATTCTTCAGTACTCCTTGATGTCCAAATACCACTGAAAAATGACAGTTCTTCAACTAGTCCTACTATGATGCTGGCATTTGAGTACAAATCAGGTAAAAGATAATAACCTATGTTCTGATAATTTTTAGAAAGTTTGAAACCTGGGAAATTGGGTAATGTTTGATACACAGTAAATATCGGACACATGAAGACATTAACCATCCAAATAATTATAGAAAAGAAATGTTACATACATTCCTTGCGTGACTGCAATTAGTGTGATTTTAGAACCATACCAATAATTGTAAAGCTCAGTGGTTTGATAAAACATGTTTCAACTGATTTTTTATGGTCTAATTAACAAATGTTTGCTAATAGCCACATTTTATGTCAGTATTTAAATATGATAATGTGAAAGTTGTTAATACAGAAGGATAGGCCTACACCAAAGAAAAACAATTGTAATTTGTAAAAAAAAAATGTAAAATGTAATTTTTAAAGTGTAATTTTGTAAGTTTTATTTTTAATGTAATTTTGGCAATGTCATAATTATGTTCAATATTCAATATTTACAAAATGGGTTTTTCAAAATGCAAATTAGGCTTGTCTGTTGGAATCGAAGTGCAATTTAGTGAGAAGATAGGAAGACTATACCTTAACACATTGCTCACACCGACCATGAGCTTTGTCGAAAAAACGGAGGGTCTCTGTGGCTTCATGGATGATGATCCGAACAATGATTTTGAAGGTTTGAATAGCGCCCTCTATCATCATAATAACTGTCTCTTATACACATCTAGATGTGTATAAGAGACAGATTTAGGGGGTGTGCAGGCCCCGCCCCCTCTTTTTGAA